GGGGGGGGGTGGAGCAGGGTGGGAGGCTCCTCTCCTTCCTAGGGCATGACCCAGCCTGGAACTCGCCCCAGCTGCTGCCCTCTCAGAGCTGGGTGACTGTCCAGGGTTTGACAAGTTAGTCGTGGGGTAGAGCGGGACCTCCAGCCTACTGCGTGCACACCTCCTAGGCAGCGCCTTTCACCTTCGGATAATAAGAGTCTGGAAGGTTTTCCCGAAAATTGAGTTGCACCTTCCCCCTGAGCCCCAAGTCTGCCTAGGCCTATGCCCACAAAGGCCCTACCCAGACTTGAGGCTGTGGTAGGACCCCACTAGGCTGTTCCTCTCCAGCTGAGCCCTTGCCCTGGGCTGCCAGGAATGCTCCCTGGGTTCGCCACACTGTTCTGGCAATTTCTGGCCCTGCTGAGCGGCAGAACTCACTCATGGGACCACCTTCCACCCCCAGGGCTTCTCTGTCCTTTATGCAGGTGGCCAGGCCAGCTTCCCCCCAGAGACAGCCACTCTTCCTCCTGCGGGACACACATTGAGCAAAACAGGGCTGAAGCCAGAGACCTGTGACTCACTACTAGAGACCACAGGCTTGTGGCTCCTCTCCCTGTGGCACTTGTCACATGCAGGCCCTGGAGACCCACGGAGGAACCGCCCTGTTCCCTGTGCTCCAGGTGCTCCCGCTGCAGCACCATTAAGAAGGACGTGTGGTCGCTCCTCCCCAGCTAGACTCAGGGTCTTTACTGCCCCCCCGGACCCCGGGCCTTAGCTCTGCAGGAACAGCAGGCAGACTCCTAGCCTGCCAGGGTGGGAGAATCACACAAATGAGTTTTCTTCCTAGCTCTGTGACTGTGGGTGACTCCCTCCCTCCCTATGCCTCAGTTTCCCCATCGCTAACATGGGGACTACAATCTCTACCTTCTGGGGCTATTGGAGACTAGAGATGGGGGTGCAAAGGGCATGATGCGTGCGCTCCTAGCATGGGGACTAAATGCACGGCTCCCTTCAGTCCCCAGCCTGGCTGTTACCCTCCTTCCCCATCCTCCCTACCGGAGTGACCCCCTAAGAGGGGGCTCAATGTTTGAGGTGCCCCCGCTCTGACACAGCCCCGTATGGTCTCTGTGAGACTTAGTAATGACCCTCAAAGGCGCTTGCAAAGCAGTTGGCCAGCCCGGGCCGCCACCACTGACCACACCGTCCTGTGCCCACAGCACCTGCGCCTGTCCTTGAATAGCCACGGGCAGTGCCACGTACAGCACCTGTGGTTCCAGTCCGTGCTTGACATGCTGCGCCACTTCCACACCCACCCGATCCCACTGGAGTCCGGGGGCTCTGCAGATATCACCCTCCGCAGCTACGTGCGGGCCCAGGGCCCCCCACCCGGTAAGACTCCCCCCAGCTGGCCTATGTGATGGCTCAAGAGGACAGACAGGTGGGCCCTACGGGGAGGGCGTCCCCCACAGGCTGCTGCCCAGCACCGCTAGCCCCCGTGGGATGAACACCAGGTCTTGGGCGGTTGTAAGCAATCCGGGCCATCAGGGTTGGAGAGAGAGTGGCCGCGCAGGGACCGGGTCCGGGTCCTGAGTGACTGGGGGCAGGCGGAAGGTGGTCGCTCAGAGGCAGCGCTGAGGGATTCCCTAGACCCCTGCAGAGCTGGGGCTCAGCGCAGAGCTGCTGAAGGAAGCGTTGGGGGCGCGGGGAAGGGGGTCCGGCACACGTGGGTTTGTGTTTTCCCTGTCGCCCGTCCCCGTGACCTTAGGTATCCAGGGAGGGGGGCTGGAACCAGGAGAGCCAGGCCACCCCGTTCCTGCGGGTCTGCGCGTCCGCGTGTGACGCGCCGGCGCTGGGGACAGCGGGGGCGACGGTGCCCGGCTGGGCCCTGACGCGCCCGCGCTCT